AAAAAAAAAATAAATAAATAAATAAGGGACTCTTCTCCCCACACCCTAAAAAAAAAAAAACCTCAGCAGAATTGAACCAACCGCTTCTGCTCCTACCCTCTCAATTTTTTGGCTCTAATAATGATCCTGTTTTTGTATTTTCTTCACATTGGTGCTGATACAAGCTAAAAATATCTATTATATTTATTGTGGATCACTATGAAAGTATTCTGAGGAACTTTTAATATCTTGGAATGTTGATAGGTATACTAAAACAGCCACACACACACACTCACTCTGCAGTCCAAAATAGTGTAATGCTGGACCAAATAAGTAATATTTGTTTGCAGTGGTACTCTTCGGAAACTTTAATAGCTGGTGTGCATGATGAGCCTCCTAAACAAGAAGGGTTTTCCAGACTTAGTAGACTGTAGAGCTCTCTCTTCAGGGAACATGTTTTGGGAAACACCAGGTTGTTTCAAGTGAGTTGTTTTTTGGGGCTTTAAAAAAAATTACTTATTATTATATTTGCCTATTCCCCTGTTGCAGCAGTTTTCATAATTTACATAAAACAGTAGCAAATCTTATAGATTTGTTTTAGACAGCATATCTTCTGTTAAGAATAGGCTACTTTTTTCTCTTTGTAGCAAGCCAACCTCAGAATCCTAAGGTTTTTCTTTTTAAAGATGGCATTATATGAGTAGAATATTAGTTTAAACAGTTATTTCATTTTCTGTTAACCAAAGCTGCTGAGATATTGGTATCGACACTTAACTGGCAGTGGGTATGATAGGTCTCCTACTTCTGCCTTCTTCTTTCCCTTTATAATATTTATAGAGAATTTATACAAGGGGAAAAGTGAAAATGTGGCTATGATGGTCGTGGAGTTTTGTGGGGAGAGATAGAAGATTTAGATTAAATATGTTATATTTTTTCTGAAGGCCATTATTTAAATATAAGCTTTTCCAAAGATATTAAGTATCATGCCTGTCCTTTATTGTGTTCTGTTTGAGAGATCTATATAACTAGATTAAGAGGAACTATATGTATAATCTTTATAATTCAGTGCATTTCTTTTTTTAGAAAGCAAATATATTTTATTATTTTTTATTTAATTTATTTTTTGAGACTGAATCTTGCTTTATCACCCAAGCTGGAGTGCAGTGGCATGCAGTGGCGCAGTCTTGGCCCACTGCAACCTCCGCCTCCCTGGTTCAAGCATTCTTATGCCTCACCCTCCCGAATAGCTGGGATTACAGGCACCTGCCACCATGCCTGGTTAATTTTTGTATTTTTAGTAGAGATGGGGTTTCGCCACATTGGCCAGGCTGATCTGGAACTCCTGACCTCAAGTGATCTGCCCGCCTGCACCTCCCAAAGTGCTGGGATTACAGGCGTGAGCCACCGCGCCTTCCCTATATTTTAAAGCAGTGATGTGTTTTGACTTTTTTCAGGTTAATTTTTTAACTATATCAGAAAACTGGTTTGATTAATGTTTACTGAAGTGAATAAAAGCAAATATAGTAAGCTCACATGGAGAGTCATCAGGGTGTGAGGTTTTCCAGATAAGTGATTTTTTTTTAGAAAATGGAAATACAGTTTTAAGTACCAAGATTTTATATAAAAATATCTTTTTTACTGAACATATGCAACATAATGTAACTTTATTTTCAGTATTGGTTTGCCATTATTACAATTCAGATATGTTAGGGCAGCTGCAGCTATGCTTACCCTTTGCCCCTCCTTCCCCTTCTAAATTTGTGGTTTCTTTTCCTTTATGATTTTAGATAGTAGTTATAATAATTGTGCCTAATATAGGAATGGATATGTTTCTTAAGAAGAGGACCTTTTATGAGCCATGGTCTTTGTGACATTTACTTTGACCATTTAGAGATTCTTCTTATCTGTTACCTCTCCCTCCTCACTGCCCTTGAGTTCTTTGCAGTCTGATATAGTCTGGATAGGTGATTTGTAGAGAATTGAGGCTTGATGTTTTTTTGTGTGTGTGATATTGCTGATTTAACTTTATTCTATGTAATAGGTGGATTGTGGATATTTGGTGTATAGTTTTGCAACAAAACAGGTGTCACCAAAATCAGGAAGTATTTACATAATTGTGAAAACCATGTGGATTTCATTCATTCATTCATTCATTCATGGAGTCTTGCTCTGTCGCCCAGGCTGGACTGCAGTGGCATGATCTCAGCTCACTGCAACCTCTGCCTCCCGGGTTCAAGCAATTCTCATGCCTCAGTCTCCTGAGTAGCTGAGACTACAGGTGCAGACCGCCATGCCCGGCTAATATTTCGTATTTTAGTAGAGACAGGGTTTCACCATGTTTCTCAGGCTGATCTCAAACTCCTGAGCTCAGACAATCTGCCCGCCTCGGCTTCCCAAAGTGCTGGGATTATAGTTGTGAGCCACCACGTCTGGCCTCTTACATTTTATTTTAACGGCTTAAGTACCATCATGTATTTTGTCAAGAGGTATGTACTTTTTAAATTGGAAACATTGTTGTGTGTAATTTGCCGTAATAGTTACAAATGATGGTCTGAAATATTGGGTTATTAAACTAGAAATCTGTATAAAATGATACATAATTAAAAGTTATATTACAATGTATTTTAAAATGTAATACTTTTACAGATTAAGATTTTGATGACTTCAATTTAATTTTTAAAATTTGGTTTGAGTTTAAATATGTTTCTTCAGGTGGGTGATCATAGTTTTATCTTTACTATTGGAGAATAAATGTTTTGGAAGATAATTGCTGTTTTGTTTTAAACATGTGATAGCTAAGCGATTTTTTTTTTTTTTTTTTTTTTTTTGAGACGGAGTTTCACTCATGTTACCCAGGCTGGAGTGCAATGGCACGATCTCGGCTCACCGCAACCCCCGCCTCCTGGGTTCAGGCAATTCTCCTGCCTCAGCCTCCTGAGTAGCTGGGATTACAGGCACGCACCACCATGCCCAGCCAATTTTTTGTATTTTTAGTAGAGACGGGGTTTCACCATGTTGACCAGGATGGTCTCGATCTCTTGACCTCGTGATCCACCCGCCTCGACCTCCCAAAGTGCTGCTGGGATTACAGGCTTGAGCCACCGCGCCCGGCCTCGCTAAGCGATTTTATAAAGGACAATTTCCTACTAGAATTTATTTTTGGTTTTATTAATGGGACAGTGGGATCTACTTTACAGTTTTTGTATATTTTGGTTAAAAGAGAGAGATTTATACTTTTGTTATAATAAGTTATTTGTGAAAGTGAATTTTACATATCATCTGTATGTTTTATATATGTTTTGCCATGAGGTAGGAAGAACTAACTAAAAATTCAATTAGGATATTTAGCAATATAATCTGTATTACTTCACTTTAAAAATTCAGGGTCTCTAAAAAATCCTTTGAAATATTTATGAATTTTAATAGGACCATACTTTAAAATGATCAACAAAAGATACAGCCTTTTCTTAGGTAGTGCCCAAACTAGACATAGAATGGGGGGAAAATAGTTTTTTGATTTATTCTGTCTATTGTGTTAAAAATTTTTTTTGAGACAGAGTTTCACTCTGCTGCCAGGTTGGAGTGCCAGTGGCGTGATCTTGGCTCACTGCAAGCTCCGCCTCATGGGTTCAAGTGATTCGCCTGAGCCTCCGAAGTAGCTTGGACTACAGGTGTGCACCACCACACCCAGCTAATTTTTGTATTTTTAGTAGAGACGCAATCTCACCATGTTAACCAGGATGGTCTTGATCTCTTGACCTTGTGATCCACCCGCCTCAGCCTCCCAAAGTGTTGGGATTACAGGCATGAGCCACTGTACCTGGCATATTATGTTAAAAATTTTAATGTTTAGGTCTATACTAATTTAGACATGTTTTGTT